ATTTGACACTGTTTCATTGTAAATGAGAGTAAATTCTCACCGTTCCAGAAGTAGATGGCATGGTCCATAATTTCATGCTAATTTACCTGTTTAGTAAGACATTGTGTATGAAACTTTGTGTATTATTCGCCTTACTCCTACTGTACTGTTTACCGTCTGAACACGGGATCGTGGCTCGTTTCTTAGATCCGTAAATGACCTTTAGAAATGCGTTTGATGGATGACTTTGGGGAATACAAAGTTTACTTCGATGTCTAAGCTGGTTAGTCATGCTGTTCTGAATATAGATTATATCTTGCAGTTATTCTGCTTATAAAAAACTGCTGTAAGCCTGTCATTAAAGAGTTTTTTCTACGGTCGAGGACTTGATGTACAGCTCCATTTACTGTTATCTTTAGACGCCCCCATTGTTTATCATTATTTGACCAATAATTGTGATCGCTATTTGTTACGTTTCTCAGAAAATGTCGAATGTCTTATACCAACCTCTTTAGATCCCAAGACATCCGACATTTAGATGCAGTTCTAGGAAGTTGCTGATCAGGCCAAGGATTGAGGAAATGTCAGCTTTTTCTGAAATTTTTTGACACAACTGATAAATTCTACTCAGCACTGAAGCGGATGAAACCGAGTAGCCAAAAATATTGACTATTAATATTTCTTTGGCTCTGTTTGTTCGCATTATTTTTCGAAACTTTATTTCCGTCGCTTATTCTGGTTTTGTGTAGAACTTTGAACTCGAGACCCAGGGACTCACCGTTTATTGATCTGAAATACGAATACTTCGGATTTTCGTTCCTGCAAGACGCCGTATCGAATCTGCTAATCGACTTCCTTACATCTCGAAATCAAAGCGAAACGGCAGCGGTTTTTTCCCAGCAATTTCCTGCCTATTGTTACACCGTTGACCTGTAAACAAAAACTACCGTGGAATAAAACATAAAAATTGGGCCGTGTTGTTTCTAGCTTTATGGATGGCGTTTCAAACATGCTTCCGTTCATCATATCGATCGGTTGGATTTTCAGCGCTGCAATAATAATCAAAAACATTGTCCTTGAAAAGGAGCTTCGCATCAAGGAATTTCTGAAGGTTGGAAATTTATTTATGCTTATTAGATTTCAGTGTGTTTAACTTTGTTTCTTAGATGATGGGACTGAACAATTTTATCTATTGGTTAAGTTGTTTCATTCAGTCGTTTCTAATTCTGCTGTTCACGTCAACAGTAGCGGTGGTTATACTTAAAGTAAGTGCACTTTTTCATTTTATGCTAATCTACCACGTCTACGTGTTAATGGATGAATATATGCATGGCATCCTGAATTTGTATGGTACAAAATTGTCTGGGTAATGGGTCGTTCTTTCAGGGTTTGCGTTCTGAATATAGTTCCTTAATGGAATGGCACCACTTAACAAAGCTGACAGCGGAAAACTGGAGGCGATGAAATGAAGATTCTAAGATGAATAATAAGTGTGCAGTTATGTGATCCGGCGTCACTACTGCTGTAAAGGAAAGATTAGAATATTCAGCTAAAGTCGTTACAGACAAGGCAATTAGGATGTGGGGCTATTGCCCGCGGATAAACGATAGCCGCCTTCAGAAATGAATGCTGAACGAAAGGCCTTTTGGCAGGGAGTTGTAAGAAAGCCCTTTGACAGATGATAAGATCTCATAAGAACTGACATGTCGTCGAACTGAAGATTGAGAACAGTTTTATCCGACCAAGGTAGAATGCCTGTAAGGTACCAATCCTCCTCGTCTTCGACGCGACGGAATGAGAAGAAAAATAGAAAAATGCATTTATTAACAAAAATATATTTTAATTAGTGCCTCTGACATTGGTAAATACGTGTTATTTTTTCCGGTTTGTGTAGCATATCTTTACAATCTCTCGCTTCCAGTGATGACCAAA